ATAGAAAAAGAAGTTCAGCATTAACTTGTGCACCAATATTAATCAGAACTTTACCCGAACTGTAGAAGTAGAAGAAAACTTGAGCACTCCACTCAACGAGAATATAGGAGAGAGGCGGCAAGGCAGTGGACAGAGGAATCACCGTCGATTTCTTATAGCCGCCAAGGCGCGGCGAGGTCTTTGAAAGTATGAAGTTTGAGACTCGTTGGAGACGGGAGGATTAAAGACATGGCACACAGGGTACATGGAAATAAAATGTGAATATACAAAAAGTACCCCTAAAGTTTTAATTACAAAACTTTAACCCTCTCTTCTTCGAACATATACTCCATTATCCCTTTTTTGTTCTTTCTGTCCCGTGTCTCTTCAGAGATTTGAGTTTGTAACTTTTGTCCTCTTTGATTTAACTGATGTAGTAGATAAATATTAAGTATTTTTTTATGTAGTAAAATTGATTTTTTAAATAAATAATTACTTGTTAGAATAGAGATAGTTTAAAGTTGATTTTTTTTGTTTGTAGTTTAAAGTTGATAATTATAGGAACAAGAGCTAAACGCACTCTTCTATCATTATTTTGAAGAAAAAGAAAAATAGGAGATGAAATTTTTATAAAAAAAAAATCTATCATAAGCTTTAGGTTTATTATCACTCAAAGCTAATGTTTCAAAGCTAAGTACCATTATAACAAAGAGGAAAGGCGAATGTCATAGACTCATAGTGTTACAGGGCCAATTTTTCACACTATTGACACTGCACGGCAGTAGCTAATCACACAACCACTCAGCCTCACTTTTTCGTACACACAGCTAACACTTAGAATTATTCAGACTTAGCCAATCTTAACAACACACAGTATTACGGGTAAAATCACCCAACCTTTATTATTCTCGCAGAATACAAAAAGGACTCACGTTAGGAAAGGCTCACACCTATGACAGTTTTATAAAGGGGCAGTTGGGGCAGTTAAAACAATGTGTCATGCACATGATATTCCTACAAACAAGCATAACCAATCTGTTTGAATTCAAATTCAAACCCTTCCCACGAAATTGGACTTGTCTTCAGCATTTGAGTCACCTGCACATGTGCTTTGCACATGTCTTTAACTTCCAAAGCACATGCATTGCACACCTCTTCCGTCACATGCTTTTGCACACTTGTCTTTCAGCTTTTGCCCATACTTAGCCTTCTGCCTTGTACTATTTTTGGACCATGCCTCGCCCATAGTTCATAGCCACGTCCTGCCACAAACCTAGTCGTCCCACTGATCTACGCATGCCTTTGTCAAGTGCCATACGCCTTCGTTGCCATTGCCGATGCCCACGAACCAAGGCTGCCTTGCCAACATTCAAGGTGCCTTGCCTAGCTAACTTGTCTAAATCCATCACTAACTTAGACTCACACCCAGCTTTGCACATTGCTTGCCCACATTTCCACAAACCCATGTCAAGGGGCAATGTACAAGCCCTTGACACGAATTCTGCCTGACAGTCATCAAATCTCATTATTAGGGGCTAACAAACCACCCCCACTGGTTGAACTCGACGTCCTCGTCGAGGTTGATTTCAAATAGTCCTCGATTTGATCTTCGAATTGCCATAATGAATTACCCTTCTCCCAAGTTGCATCGGCCTCGGGCTTGCCTTTCCATTGAATTAAAAATTCTGTCCGCCTATTCTTTTTGTGCATCCCAAGTACCCGGTGGTCCAGAATCTTTTCAATCTCGTCCTCAATCTGATTGCGCACTTCAGGAGGAGCTTTCTTGATTTTATGTCTGTCCGGATCTTCAGGATCTTCCACATATGGCCTCAAATAACTCACATGGAAAGTTGGGTGTATTTTCATTCTTTCCGACAGCTTCAAACGGTAAGCAACTTCACCCACCTTTTAAATAACTTCAGAGGGGCCATCATATCTCGAAGCCAATGCTTTATGCCTTATCCTGCTATCAATCTTCTTCCAGATTTGAGGAGTAAGCTTCAACAACACTTTGTCGCCCACTTTGAACTCCAATGGATGCCTGTTCCAATCAGCATATTTTTTCATGCGTTTCTGGGCCACTTTCAAACTGTCTGCTGCTTCATCCATCATAATCTGTCTATCAAACCCATAACGGTATGCAGCTGAACATTTCCCACCAGTCTTCTGTTGCACCAGCTTCGTTGGTAGTCTTGGCTGCTTCCCCAAAACTATCTCAAATGGACTTTTCTCTGTGGCTGAAGACTTGTGCAAATTGTAAGAGAATTGTGCACAATCTAACAAATCAGTCCAATTCCGTTGACTCGCAGTCACAAAATGCCTCAAGTACTCTTCTAGCAGGTGATTGATTCTTTCGGTTTGGCCATCAGTTTGGGGATGGTTCGCCATTGAAAACTTCAAGTTTGTGCCCAGCAAATTGAACAAGTAAGTCCAGAATCTGCCTGTGAACCATGCATCCCTATCACTAACAACATCCTCTGGCATCCCGAAATACTTCACCACATTTTTGAAAAATAATTCTGCAGCAACTTTAGAGGGACATTCCGTTGGGGCAGCAATAAAAATAGCATATTTTGAGAACCTGTCGACCACTACCATAATCGAAGACAACCCATTGACTTTAGGGAACCCACTGATAAAATCCATTGAAATAGATTGTCATGTTTCTTCAGGAATCGGCAGAGGTTGCAACAAACCTGCCTTTTTCTTCCGTTCGGTTTTATCAAGTTGACATACAAGACAGTTTTTCACATAAGCTTCTACATCTTGTTCCATCTTTGGCCAGAAATAATATCGCGACAACAACTCCATCATCCTCTCAATTCCTAGATGACCAGCCCGAAGTGTATTGTGCGTCTCCTTCAGTAATTCACGATGCAATCCCTCACCAAGTGGTACAACGATTCTCCCCCCTTTGAAATGGAGAAGATCGTCCTCGATCCAGTACCTTCTCACAGTACCTTCTTTCACATGATTCATTGTTTTTATGTACAATGGATCATTCGCAGCATCTGACTTGATCTTATCAAGAAAATCAGATTCAAGTCGTGTAATGGAATAAACAACAGCAAAGACTTCCTTTCGACTTAATGCATCTGCAACCTGGTTGTGTCTTCCCGGCTTATGCTCCCACGCAAAATCATATTCTGCTAAAAATTCCTGCCAACGTGCTTGCTTTGGACTCAACTTTTTCTGTGTCTTGAAGAAAGTATTAGCCACATTGTTCGTCCTCACGACAAATTTTGTTCCCAGCAAGTAAACACGCCAGATTTGCAAGCAATGACTAACAACAACCATCTCCTTTTCATGAGCCGAATATCTCTGCCCCGCTTCATTCAACTTCCTGCTTTCAAAGGCCACAGGATGACCTTCTTGAACCAGCACGCCTCCGACAGCCTTGACGGATGCATCGGTATGAACTTCAAAGGGCAACTCAAAATCAGCAAGTCGCAAGAAAGGTTCTGAGGCAATGGCTTGGGGCAATTTTTCACACTATTGACACTGCACGACAGTAGCTAATCACTCAGCCTCACTTTTTCGCACACACACCCTGACACTTAGAATTGTTCAGACTTAGCCAATCTTAACAACACACAGTATTACGGGTAAAATCATCCAACCTTTATTATTCTCGTAGAATACAAAAAGGACTCACGTTAGGAAAGACTTACAATATGCTACTTGCCTTAATCCCAAACGAAATACACACACAAAAAGGGGCCTGCATATGGCAGTTTTACAAAGGGCCAGTTGGGGCAGTTAAAACAATGTGTCATGCACATGACATTCCTACAAACAAGCATCACCAATTTGTTTGAATTCAAATTCAAACCCTTCTCACGAAATTGGACTTGTCTTCAGCATTTGAGTCAGCTGCACATGTGTTTTGCACATGTCTTTAACTTCCAAAGCACATGCATTGCACACCTCTTCCGTCGCATGCTTTTGCACACTTGTCTTCCAGTTTTTGCCCATACTTAGCCTTCTGCCTTGTACTGTTTTTGGACCATGCCTCGCCCATAGTTCATAGCCACGTTCTGCCACAAACCTAGTCGTCCCACTGATCCACGCATGCCTTTGTCAAGTGTAATGCGCCTTCGTTGCCATTGCTGATGCCCATGAACCAAGGCTGCCTTGCCAACACTCAAGGTGCCTTGCCTAGCTGACTTGTCTAAGTCCATCACTAACTTAGACACACACCCAGCTTTGCACATTGCTTGCCCACATTTCCACAAACCCATGTCAAGGGGCAATGTACAAGCCTTTGACACGAATTCTGCCCGACAGTCATCAAGTCTCATTATTAGGGGCTAACACATAGTTACATTAGCATGTCATGACAATTTTCTATGACATAACATAACTAATTCTTATTCATATTCATATTAAAGATGCAAGAAACATGGTTAGGTAATTCTATAAATTTGGAAAAGAAAAATTTAGATGATCCATCAACTCCATCATTTGTCAAATAATTAACAAGTTGGGTAATATTTAAATTTGATTACCCCAATTTTGGGAACATATAGTTGATTCTTCTACTACGCGCAAGTTAATAATTTCTACTATTAATTAATATACTAGTCCATAATTCTCCGAACAAAATTCTATAACCGTCAAACAAATAGTTTTAGTATTTTGTACTTATTTCTTCAAAATTCAAGTGTAATACTAATTATTACAGACATAATTAGTAAAATATAATTGGTATCTAGATGCATTTTAGCCAAAATATAGTACAGCGTTATAACTAAGTATACTTATTCGAATCTTTTTCTATGATATGAAAATTAGATGTAAATTACACTTTAACTTGAAAGATTAGAAACTTATCCGAGTCCTAAGAACTTACCTCTTCCATTTTTGTTTTTTAACCACTAAAAGACTAATTTTTCGCATCTTCTTCCCCCTATTGAGGCCTAGAATGTGTCTTAGCCTTCAACTTAGAATAACAAATGTCAAGCACTGAATTGGTTTCAAGATCTATAAATACCCACTCTGTCTAAAAAAACACATCAACAAACAATTCCAAGTTCTTCAAAAAAATACAGTTTGTTTTCTCTCAGTCTATAACACTATTTGCTCAATTTTCAAACACAAAATTAATCATGGATAACTCCCAGAACATGAGCTACCAAGCTGGGCAAGCTAAGGGCCAAGCCCAGGTAATCTATATGCTATTTCTTGCACATTCACTTTCCCTTTAATCATACTAGCTAGTACCTAGAAAACATGCGGTGACGAAACTAGAAATTTTAACAAGTAAAAGTAAAAAAAAATACAAGAATATCATGTCTGCGACTTGAACCTGCAACATAAAGCAATTTTTGAATCACCTTGGTGGCGTTTTGTTAATTCAACAATTTATATTTATGACGATGTAGCTCTGGCTTGATAACACGTGATATATATTATTATGCATCAGGAAAAGGGTAACCAGATGATGGACAAGGCTGCAAATGCTGCACAATCTGCCAAAGAAACAATGCAGGAGGTTTGGCCATTGTTATTCCATTATTTTGTTGTGTTTCCATATATGCATGAGCACGACTAAAGTGTAACTCTTATAAACTATTAGCTGATGCATAACTCATAAGACAAGAAAATAAATACTAATGTGTTATATTTGGTTGACAATTTTATAGGCGGGGCAGCAAATGCAGGCCAAGGCACAAGGGGCAGCTGATGCAGTTAAAAATGCCACTGGCATGAAATGAAGATCCTATTTTATACTTTTAGGCTGCCAGAATGGGCTCTTATTTTTCAGAATTTTGAAGTTTATGTTTTCATTTCAAATTAGAGACGCAAATTCTGTTGCTTAGATTGAGTATTGTTGAGATTTCTTGTTTCTGAATTATAGAAGAAGCTGTTCATAGGTCACACTATCACAGCTTAGTTCTTTCTTCTTTGTTTCACTAATAATACATAGTTTTTGGTTCTATATGTGATTTCCCTTCTTTGCATTTCTCGCATTCACAGTATGATGTGATCTTTCTTTGTTTAACACTTTTAACTTATTGAAGTTCAATCTTACCAACTCTTTTGAGCTATATCTGAGATATATTTAACTTTTAAAATTAAAAGTAAGATACTCATGATAAACCACGTGATAAATACTGGTTCCGTTGCAACATTCGATAAAATTGGAATGTTAGAATGGTCATCTTGCACAAGGATGACACACACAAATCAACGTGATAAATAATGTAAATTATTATTTTCCTCCTATCAAAATTGGAAAGGTATTAAACCTAAATATTAAATCAAGATTCTTTGAATTCGGGAACTCAAAAATATTAGATGAAGGAAGTATCATATTGCAAAATGTGCAAAGCAACTACTTTTGACTAGGGCGGTCAAATTGGGCCAAGCCCAAATGACCCGTCCAACCCGTTTAAGATTGGGTTGGTTATTGACCCGCTCATTTATTGAACTCAGCCCATCTTGACCAAATTCATCTCAGCTTATTGAAAGTTGGGCTAGTTTTTAGCCCAAATTGATCTATAAGTAACTTTGTTAAAATAGCTAAGATTTTTTTTTTGATATGTTATATATGACCATAACAAAAGAAAAAAAAAAGTCTTATTTAGTAATTATACAATTTATTATAAAAACAATACATATTAAGGAAGGTTGATAAGAGTTGGGCGGGTTAGGCTATAACCCAATTTTAGCTCATCTTAACCCAGACCATCTTAGCCCAAGTAACTTTTGGGCGGGGTCAAATGGCCTATCCAATTATTGACTCAACCCATTTTAACTCGTCCAAAATTGGTCCAACCAGCCCATTTGACACCCCTACTTTTGACAATTATAAATCTTTCTCAAGGGAAAGTAGCATAAGGATAATCAAAAGAAATAGGCAAAATACCTTAAACCCCCTAAAATTGGTACGTATTACTGGTTATATCTTTTAACTACTCATGGTCTTAATTACCCCCTATACTTGGTTATTCGATAGATGTTACCCCCTTGAATGATCTCATCCTAAGAAAGTATGTACTCGCCTGTCACGTGTAATTTCCCGTCCATGTCTCATTTTTTAAAAAATAAACTATATTTTATACTTTTTTAAGTGTGTTAGTTTTTTAGATAATTTTTTTCGAATAATATTTATAATAAAACTTGGCTAGAACTACATTATTTAGGCTAATTTTTTTTATTTGGCTAAAAATAATAAAGTTTTAGTTATTGTTTTTTGAATTTGACCTGAAAGATTTATGCAGTTGAAATAAATTATCAAGGCATCTTAAAAGATATAAAAAATATACATAGTTTGATTTTTATTATTTTGGATATAAATTTTTATATAGCTCTAAAAATATTATTTTTTTACAGATATTACCAGAAGAAGTAAAAATACACAATTAAAATAAATAGTCATTATATCAAAAGAAGAATTAAAAAGAGTGTGCAATTGCAAGTTCATTATTTTGGCTATACCTTTTTATTTGGTAAAAAATAATGGAGCTGTAGCTATTTTTTTTACTGATTTGACTCGAAAATAAAAATACACATTTAAAATAAATAGATATTATATCTAAAAAATAACAAAAAATACACAACTATTACTCCATTTTTGCTAAAAGTTTTCTATTTGGCTAAAATAATAGAGTTCCAACCAAACTTTTACGAATTTGGCTCCAGAAAAAAAATGTGACTGGAACAAATAGACATTATATCTACAGAAGAAAGTAAAAATAATAAAAGTTAGAGTAAAGTTCACATTATATGCTAAGATGAAGCAAGAAGAAATATATAGTTGTAACAAATAAATCATTACATATGACTATATGATAACTAAAAGTTAAAAAATAACCTACTTGGAAGTTGATTTTTTCAACTTTTCTTCACTCCACACGCTTAAAAGAGAGTGCACCCACATTCTCCGCCACATCAACGTCCAGAGAGGTAATAACTCTCAAAAGGCTAAATTCAGAAGAGTAATTAAGATTACGAATAATTTAGGGGTGTAACTAATAATCCATGTCACATTTAAGGTGGTTTTTAGGTATTCTGCCAAAGAAATACTATAATATGGACAGTTAATGCAGAATGAATTAAAGTTCGTTTGTTTTAAAAGTGGTGTTTGTTTCCAAAGTAGGAGAAATTTTATCGCGGTTCTTTTTTCGTGTTTTTTTTGGAGAAAATGAAAAGAATTAATCACATGGAAGTTTTTTCAGCCATAAAGTCACTAGTCAATATTTGAAATTTTTTAATACTACTCCAGATGTGTTTTTCATTTCGTGCGAAAAATATCTCTAATTATGTTTGGTTGCCTTTTTTATTTATAAAAATCAAATATTGTCAAACACTTTTTGAGGACAAAGCCAAGGTTAATTTACAAGTATCAATGTTAAACAATGTGTTTCAAAAGTACTTGTTCCAGGAGCAAATTTTTGTGACATATTTGTTTTTGTCAGCATAAAAAAAAAAACTTTAGATAATTCGCACAAAACATAATAATGTTAGCTCAGGTGAAGAATGAGATGAAAGAATTGGTATTGTTAGAAAAGTCTAAGTAACGAATTAATAAAAGAATGCGTTTGCTAAGATTAATAATTTGATACGGATGCTACTATATTAAACTCGTTTATTTTTCTCAATAATGTATTCATCATAAATATAGGACCAAGTGTTTTTGCAATGGTAACAGTTTAACAATAACCTCATAACAACAATTGGTTGGAGAGAGGTGTTAGATCTAATTTTAATGATGCCAATAATATATCTATGCATGAAATCAATTACACAAGAATAAGGAATCAAGGAACTACTACAAGATTGTTAAACTCAATCTGGATGCTTAAGGAAAGAAATCAATCAACAAAGATTACGAATTAGTCAGCAAATTTGGATGCTTAAGGAAAAAAAATCAATCAGCAAAAATTACGAATCAGTCAGAAAAGTTTACGGACAACTGCGATGGAAAGAATCAAGCAAGCCTAAACTTAAGGCATTAATCAAGGCCATCACATTCAAATCCGGAAGATTAAAGCAGTCAAAAAGCATCGAAGATTCTGTGAGAAGAGTAGCTGAGCGGCTAATCTCGGAAGGACCAACAATTAAGGAGGAAACCCTCATCATTAACAACTGTAGAAGGAAAGCTGTCAATTTCCTCTCATCAAGGAAGAGCAACGGCAAGCAATCTTATTCTTGGAAAGAATCAATCTCTTTCCAAGGATCAAATCTCTTGGGTTGTCAAGTCTCGTCAGCAAACGGTCTTCACCAAAGTATTTATACTCAATATCAAGCATTAGACAAACATACTTTGATCAAACCAAAAATCCTCTCTTTGTTCTACTGCAAACAAACATTGTAGTTCTCTAAAATTTGTTGTGTAACAAGTCAGCGAAAAAAGGAGAATACAACACTGGTGAGGCATTGTATCAAAAGAGACGAGTGTTATAGAAACTGAGCTATCACGTCATTTCCATTGTACTTGGTGAAATGGATTTACTAAAGAGAAATCTCTTGCAACCCAAGGGGACTGGACTAGGATTCACATTGAATTCGAACGAGTATAAAATTCCGGTGTCTTTAATTCCTGCACTTACTTTCTGTGTTTTACATTCTGCTATTATAACTGTTAAGTTATTGTATCTAGTCGACTAATTGACAAATCAGTTAACTAATAGAGATTAAGTTTAAAAATATACAATCCACCCCCTCTTGTACTTTCAATTGGTACCAGATCAAGGCTCACATTCTACGTTTTGCTTAACAGCTTGTGAGAAAAGATCATGGCAAATCAGGAAGGAACTTCACTAGTTAGACCACCATACTTCAATGGACAATATTTTTTTCATTGGAAAGTGCGTATGGAGATCTTTGTCAAGGCTTATGACGTTAAAGTTTGGAGAGTCATCAAAATGGGGAACTATCCCTTACCAGCTGCTACTCCACCAATTGCTGATCTTGAAGATATAGATTCATATGCAAAAGCAAAAAATGGAAGTGGTACAAGTTAACAATAAAGCGAGAAATCTACTTCATAATGCTATAAGTGGTGAAGAGTATGAGAAAATCTCTAGATGTGACACAGCCAAAGAAATGTGGGACAAGCTTGAGGTTACATACGAAGGAACCAGCAAAGTAAATGAAACACATATTAACATGTTGGTTCATGATTACGAACTCTTCTCAATGCAAGAAGGAGAATTTATTGAAGAGATGTTTGCCAGGATCAACAAAATAATTAGCGATCTAAAGGCATTTGGCAAGCCATATACTAGCGGTGATCAAGTTAGAAAAATTCTCACAAGCCTGCCAACCACTTGGCAGACCAAAGTAGTCACACTGGAATCTCAGGATCTAAACAAATTATCATATGATGAACTATGAGGAGAACTCATAGCCTTTGAAAAGACGCATCTCAAGAAGACTAGTCAAGAAGAAAAAAAAATAGTTACATTCAAGGTGTCAACTGAAATAGCTGAAAACGAAATTGATGATGATCCTAGAAGATATTGCTATGCTATCGAGAAACATAGATGGCTTAATGAGAAGATTCAGAAATACAGAGAAAGGAAGAATTCCACCAAGACGATCCAGGCAATACAACGAACAAGACAAGATGATGGAAAATGCTATAAGTGTCGAAGATTTGGACACATTCAAGCTGAGTGCCCAGAACTAAAAAGAAACATTTCTAGAGAATTTAACAAGAACAAATATTTTGGAAGCTGGAGTGATGAGGACAGTTCAGACCACGAAGATATAGCAAATCTTTGCTTCATGACGATTCTGGAAAACAAAATGAACAAATCCTCAGGATGTTGGACAGACGAGGACACTTCAAATGACAAAAATGAAAACTTTTTCATGGCACGAGGTGAAACAAGTGAGGTAAGATCTTATAATTGTGAAAGATGCAATGAATTGTATGATATTCTTGATTTAACTTTGAAAGAGTCTCAAAAAATAATGAATGAACTTAAGAG